AGCGCTGCTTATTGTGCTGAAAACCAAATTGCTGGAGAAAGACTTTAAGCGCCCTCTGGATGTCCTGTCCTGCTGGAGAATACAGGCCACTTCCTCCCCCAAGGATCAGTGCTTGGCGCCTGCCCACATGGCAGTGTTGGTGCCATTTGAGTCACGTTTCTAGCACTCAGGGTCACCTACTGTGAGGAGAGCTTGGTAACGGGCTGGAACTAGGGGTGCAGGGGGAGGTGCCGCACTCCCTGGCTTGACATGGTTTCCATCATACACAGGGTTTACAGTTTGGTTCAATGGCTCTCAGCCCCCACACTGTACAAATTGTTCCAGCCCCCCTGCTTGGTCATAACCCAGCTCTCCTGACCTGGCCATTCCTGCCCAGAAGTTTGTGCTGATCGGGCAGCTCCTTCCCTTTGCTTATTATTGTTCCCCTTGTTTCACACACTTGTAATTCTGCTTCCACTGCCTCCCGAGCTGAAGCAGGTTGCTAAAGCACGCACGCACACACACAGAGAGACATACGTGCATGCGTGCACATACATACATGTAGGAGGGGGTCAGCCAGGACTCTGGTTTCTTCTCTTTTTCCAGATTAAAGGGAGATTAGATTTCCCCAGAAACGACGTTTCGGATCCCAGCTGTTACTCGTCATGTTGCAAATCAGATCTGGAAACGGCAAAACCCTTTTTTTCAGGAACTCTGACAGAGGCGGCATGAATCCTGACTCCACAGAACCTCTGGCACCAGAGAAGTCATCTGCCTTATGGATTTTCCTGTACTATGGAGCATTTAGGAGATGTCAGGCCAGGACTGCAAACCACTTTTCAGCCTTTCCAAATCGCCAGCTGCTGGCTGCTGAGCCTTGCGTGAATGTATCAGGCAGGCTGAGGAGAAGGAGGCTGCTTACAATCTGAGTGGGCATTCCAGTTGAAACTGTTGAATTCAGTTGAATTCCAGTTGGCAACTGGCGACTAGAGACCCAAGGAACAGGTTTGTTTGGCTTGGTGGATTCCCCAAATGAGGCCAGCAGAGTCCAGTTGATGGATTTAATGGAATCTGCTGTAGACAGGGACAAAGCTGCTGCCTACACACCAGTCCCTGGCAATCAGCACCAAGGCCACACACGTTCAGTGTTCACCTATCTGGGTCCCACCTTTGTGCATGCTGAGCATTGTCCGGCTCACCGCGTTGGCTCAGTGTTTACTGTGCGAAGGCTAGGCCAGTCCCTCATTCGCACACCTACACTAACCCCCCCGGAGGAACAGGGCTCTTTACACACGCTGCCAGAGCTGGCATCCCTCCCATGCTGCAGCGAGCTGCTGCCTCGTCTCCCAGCAGGCAGTTACATTCCCCAGAGTACAGACCCTCTCCGATGGGGCGACAGCCGCATCTGTTGGGTCTTGTCTCATTTAGAAGGTTTGATTGTGCAGTGCACAAAGGAGACTCCCCCAGGCACCACGTGCTCTCCAGCAAAACCTTGCCTGTCTTCAGGCAAAACAACAATGGCTTTGCTGTGCACAACCACCCCAGAGTGTTACCACCATGGAACGGTTACACAACCCCTCTCTGTCTCTGAGTCTCGCCCTCTCTTTTCACTTCTCCCGCTAGTCGCACTGAGGCGCTGAGGTTTCTTTCATAAGATGATCTGGTGAAGCAATGAGGTCATGCGTGTCCGTGTTTCCTCTCAGTTTATGAGACCACGGCTTGAAAAGAAGTCCTCTGCACTGAGCTGCAGGCGGGCCCTGCTCTCAGTGGGTTGTAACTAGAACGGGGCTCAGGCACCAGGTTTGGATCTGGAGCCAAAGCTCCCCAGAGTTCAGGGTTGGGGCCAGGCAATGGACAAACGCTGCACATCCCACCAGGAGTGTGCTGGCCACAGTGTCCAAAATGCTCCGAGGGCAAACTAGCTCCGGGGCCCCAGAGAGAATCTGTTGGTGTAACTTTCCCTTTCCCTGGGCAGGACAGAGTTTGACCCTCAGGGTGCCATGAGCAGGGAATGGCTTGTCCTGCCTCAAGGAGAGGTCAGCCGTGTCATTTCCGCATGCGCAGCCTGACCAAAGCATTTGAGCGTCTGAGCTGTCCGAACCTGGCCTGAATGGAAAGTGGATGTGACAGGACCTTTGCACTCACCAGGCCAAATACATGTGGCTACAAAGACCCGATCCTGCAAGGTGCTGAGTGCCTCCTCAGCCACACTGATGCCAGGGAGAGAGGAGGGTGTTCCACACCTCAGCACCTGACAGGATGAGGTCCGAAGGGAGGAAATGAGGGTGCTGCTGTCTCCTGGCCCAGTAGCCTCCTGGCCTTAGCTTGGGTGCTGAAATGGCTCCCGGCTGGCCCTGTGGTGGGGTCACTAGCCTGGAAACCCTGCTACAGACTGGGCACAGGAAGGAAATGCCAGGGGGAGAGGAGCTGGACTAGCTAAGCTGTCTCACAGAGGTGTCAGGGAAGGGAGGCCTCTGCTCCTCGCAGGGCCAGCGGAGAGGGCCGGGAGCATGGGGGTGATTGTAAAGAGCCAGGGACTGTGAGGGTGCTGGTGGCGGGAACTCAAACAAATGGCACAATGGACACATGACCAGCAGAGTCTGAGCCATTCTGGGGGGCAAAGAGGCAGGCATGGTGCACGCACAGTTAACTTCCACTTCCAGCCATTGTTTGACCTTTTGCTGCTAAACTGAGGGCCCCAGTATTAAATATCTGTAGCCCGTGTAGGTCCTTCTAAACTGTGATCGTGTCACCCCTTCACCTTCTCTTTGTTACGCTAAATAGACTGAGCTCCTCGACTCTACCCCTGTAAGGCAGGTTTTCTAATCCGTCAGTCGCTCTCCTGGCTCCTGTCGGAACCCACCGTCCTGCCAGCACTGGACACAGGATTCCAGCAGAGGTTGCACCAGTGCCAAATACAGAGTAAAAGAATCTCTCGACGCCTCCTCGAGATTCCCCTGTTGAGGCATCTGCGGATCACGTTAGCCCTTCTGGCCATGGTGCTGCACTGGGAAGGCATGGTCAGCTGTTCACCCACCACGGCCTCCAGGTCTTTCTCCGAGTCACTGCATCCCAGGACAGTGGGACCCGTCCTGTAAGTATGGCCGGCATTCTTTTCTCCTGGACATGTACATTTACATTTAACTGTATTAAAAAACATGTAGTTTGCTTGCCCCAAGCTTACCAAGGGTCTAGATCGCTCTGCACCAGTGACCTCTCTTCCTCGGTATTTATCACTCCCCCAAGTATTGTGTCATTTGCAAACTTTGTCAGCAACAATATTGTTTCCTTCCAGGTCATTGATAAGTATGTTAAATAGTGTAGGGACAAGGTTGGATCCCCACTGGAAACAGACCCACTCAGTGACAATTCCCCATTTACTGTTACCTTTTGAGCCCTATCAGTCAGCCAGCTTTTAACCCACCGAATGTGTGCCAGGTTCATTTTATATCATTCTCATTTTTTAATCAAAATGTCGTGTGGTACCAAGTCAGGCGCCTTACAGCAATCCAAGCGTATTATGTCATCACTATTACCATTAAAAGAAAAGGAGGACTTGTGGCACCTTAGAGACTAACCAATTTATTTGAGCATAAGCTTTCGTGAGCTACAGCTCACTTCATCGGATGCATACTGTGGAAAGTATCCATGTATGCATCCGATGTATGCATCCGATGTATGCATCCGATGAAGTGAGCTGTAGCTCACGAAAGCTCATGCTCAAATAAATTGGTTAGTCTCTAAGGTGCCACAAGTACTCCTTTTCTTTTTGCGAATACAGACTAACACGGCTGCTACTCTGAAACTATTACCATTATCACCCAAACGTGCAGCCGCAGCAAAAACAGGTGTCAAGGGCTCTAGCTTCCTGTAGGACTCTGGGGAGGGCGTCTTAGAGACACGCTCCCCCCTGGTGAAGTGCAGGGGTAGCCGGCCCCTCCCATTGCAAGGTGAGAACGGGCACGTGCTGGGGAAGGCGGGGCTGGGGCCAGTGCAGAGATTTGTGTTCCATGCTTGCGGCCGAGGGAATATATTTGTTTAGAATGATTTTACAATTCAATCAGCAGAGGGAGGCAGCCCAGGCTAGTGCAGGGATGCCCTGGGCATGGAGGGATTGTTTAAGATCCATGTGTTCTTTGGGAGGAGGTCCCAGTGGCAGGTGGGAATATGTCCTTGGGATCCAGTTCTCATGCGTTCACACCACAAGTCTTTACTGTGTGTCTCCACGAGATGCTCAGCCAAACCATTACCCTCGCCCTGGGCTCAAGCATTGTGCTGCTCATAATAGACAGCCTGCAGCACATGGATGGCTCTGTAGTCCCTCTCTTCTTCCATTGAGAGAACAGCCTGCATTCACGGCCGCCTACTATGGACAGGCCCCCGGGAGCAGGCAGCGCGAGCCCCTCTCCGTCGGAAAACAATATGGCAAAGCGCTTGCTGCTCGCCTGCAGCTGGAGCGTTCCCTGATTTATTAGGGTCAAGTTTCCCGGTAACCACAGTGACTGGGCTGTGGCTGCACAGTGACCCCCTCCGCACCAAATGGGGAATGAATCAGGAAGATTGGGTGGGTCACACAGGAATGCCCTGTAAAGACCGTGTGTCCTAGTGGCAGCAGGATCTGGAGATTCACCCCAAGGGCTGATGGCCCAGTCTAGGAATGAGCACAAGGCGTATGAGCTAATTAGAAACCCAAAGACAGGTGAATGTGTCTCTTTGGCTGCTGTGTTAAGCTGTGGGCGCTGCCTGGCGGGGAGGGCCATGTCTGTAGACATAGGACTGCACAACTCTCCAGGGGCAGAATGTAGCTGGGCCCCAGGAGCACAGGGCTCCCCAGTGGATCAGAGTCTGTGCTCCAAGAACCCATGCCGCTGCAGGGAGCTCTTATCAACAGAATTTGACTCCCGTTCTTCAGCTGCAGAGCTTGTCTTTGGCAAGGCCAGGCCAGGCCAGCACTGACCAGGACATGCCAGTAGTGTGGTGGGTCCCCAGACCAGTGCTCCTGGTGAAATGACAGACAAAAATTGGGTTTTTCATCCTGTTATTTTTTTATTATGGTTCACTTCTAAGAATGACTGGAAATCAAGCCAAGCACTCCCTGCTTCTAGCCACAGACCCCTCCCTCAACGGCTGGGAGCCTGTGAACGCAGCAAACGCCATCTGAACAACATACACGGCTTGCCATTTGCAGCCTTATTCCTTTTCCAGGCATCATTAATCTAAGTGGAGTTCACACCCAGCACAGCCAGCAATGGAGAGCCTTCATTTGCCAGGTGAGAGGGTTCTGGGTTGCTGCCCTGAGTGCATGTCAGTGGTAAGCTAAGGAGCTGCAGAAAGCAGAGATGGCTTCATCACATTTTCTAAACTAGCAGTTGATGGTTGCTGCTTATGCCGGGACTAAGTAACCCAAATAAACCCCTCTTGCCAGAGCGCTCTCAAACCCCTGCCCTTGGGGCATTAGGGTAAGGCCGATTTGCGGCACCTGTAAGTGGCACACTAAGGCATTTGTACGCCTGGGCAGCTACAACATTCAAGGAAATGCATTTTGACGGTGGTCCCAATGGGGTTGCCATGGGACTCCAGGAGCAGCCTGGCTGGAAGAGCTGCTGGAAAAACTCTTCCCATTGAGAGGTGCAAGGGGGTATTGGAAGGGGTGCTGCACTCCCCAGAATTGTGGAGGTCACCTGCCTCTAGTGCTCAGCACAGGAGAGCTTAGGTGTGATTGCAGCCCTGAGCAGCCTCCCTATTCAACCAGCACCCCTGACACCCCTCTTCCTCCTCACGGCCTTCCCCAGCACTGCGGTGTGTGAGGCAAGAGCTGCTCTCCCCAGCCTCCACCTTCCTGGGGACAGAGCTGCTCAGGGACATCGGGGCGGGAAAGCTTGTGGCTGACAAGAGCTGCCCGAGGCTCTGCTGTTGACTGACTCCAGCAGTGGGACCAGGAGACCTGGCAGCATCTGCCCCACCCAGATGTCCTGGGGACGCCCAGAATGGGGGAGAGTTTAGCAGGGCTCGGGCAAAACTCTCAGAGATTGTCCGAGTGCCTGGTGATGCTCCCACTCCGCTCAGCTGGAGTATCAGGCATAGGCTGTGAACTCAGGCTGTGCCAGGGAGAGCAGAGAGATTACAAACCACACTCCGCTCTTTGCAATGGCGAGCAAAGGAAAACAGCCCGTGCTCCATGCTGGGAAGCGCAGTGAACCTTCCCCTCGGGAAAGGCGTTGCTGTGCAAACCTCTGTGTTAGTAATGGGCCAGCCCCAGGCAAGATCAAAGCCATCTGTGTCACAGGCTAATAGTGCTTTAGGAGCTGGGAGTCAGTGCCAATGTCTGCCCTTCTTGCCTCAGCCAGCTTTGGCTTGATAACCTTCCTCTGAGCTAGAAAAAAAAATGTAGCACCCGACTCAGAATTCGAACGTCTGTCTGGACCCTGCTGGTGAGCCTGGGCCTGGGTGTGGGAAATACCTGATGGTCCTGGAGCCCGGGCTGTGCTGGCCCCCTGGGCTTAGGGCACAGAGTGGACCAGCCTCTCGTGCTTGCAAATTGCTATCGAACACAGTAGCAGTGTCTGCTTACTGCACTTTGTTGTGGGGAAGGCCACACTGGCACCAAGCTTATCCCATGGACACCCAGCCATCGGGGATCACACAGATGGCCCAAAGCACACAGCGCTTGCTGGGGCCGTGGGGGACTGGCTGGGTATATGGTGCTGCTCCCTCCTTCTTGCTGAGTTATGTTACAAGGCAGATACACAGACCTAAAAATATTCTCTCGACCACTGTCCCTGGGGAGTGCATGGTGGTGCTGGTTAGGGGCACTCGGCGTGGGCTCCGGCAGAGGGGCAGGGAGCAGTGCTGTATGCACTACCCACGAAAGGCCAGTTTGGCAAAGCCAGCTCTTACACACCCTTAGCAAAGTGTTCTGCCCTGGGCCGGTGACAGTGAGTTCTGAGGAGGGAATGCTGCCAGGAAGCTAAATTGGTTGTGGGCGCTGCCAGTCTGCTTGCTGGGTGAAGTGCTGGGACAGCTGGTTTGAGCTAGTCTCTCGCTTTGAGAGATTCTTCTGCTCCTGTAGCTGAATTCATCTAGTTGGCTGCTGTGTCTTTCATTCCCCTTTGGATCTCTACTGCAGGCAGCCATGTCACCAGGGGCTGACCACCAGCTGTTGGTGGGCTCTGGAGTAGACCATGTATCTAGCCATTCTCAGACAGGATTGAGGGAAGGCAACCAAGACTTAGAACCTGTAAGGGGAAGGGAAACAGTGGGACCGCAGGGGATGTTCTGCTACGAAGAATGCTGATGTTGCAAATTTTATGCACATGAAATACCTTGAAGGTAGCAGACAGGCTCTGGGCAGAGTGGGCACTGTGTGGGCTCCATGGCAAGTTCTCTGGGCCTGGGGCATGATGCCCGTGTCACCAAGTCACTCTGAGACCCGGTGCCTGCATTTCTGCTTGGTGGGCTGTAGCAGGTGCTGGTCACCCTGTGAACGTAACAAAGTGACTGGCAGCAGAAAGGGGAATAAAGGAAAAGGATCCTAATTCCTGCTAGCAACCCAAGATGGTCAAACCCCTGGGGTGACAATTGCAGTGCAGAGCCAGAGGAAACCCCTCCCTCCCGCAGGGCGCTCAGAAATAGCTCAGTCCCTTCCACATTTACATGCAGTGAGAGCTCTGCTCACCCCACACTGGCTTGGGCAGTGGACAGATGTGGAGAAGGGAGCAACACCACTCAAAAACCTGGCACTTGGCACCATAAGCTACAGCTTTGTACAGGAATACATAGGGGGGTCGCTATTTACAGGAGACAATGCAGAGTACAGATCAGCGGCCGGATGGCTGATACTTTAAATAAGACCTTGCCTTATGTGGACCAGCCTGGAAATTCATGGGCACCCAGTTCCCAGCAAAGTTCCTAGTCCCTGATGTCAGCACCAGGGCTTACAGAAAGAGGTCTCCTAGCCATTTAGGTTTGGTTGCATGAGACAAGCCATTTCAGCAAATGCCAAGATGGCTTTCAGGAATGAATCTAGGAGGCTGAAACACGCTGACCACTGAATGAAAAGGGCTTAAAGCCATGGATTGGTGATGGAGGAGAATGGGTCCAATGCTTTGTGGGGACTGAGTGAATTAATACCACCAATGACTGTGCTTCTGGTGGATGGTGTATGGGAAATTCTTCCCCCTGCCTCCAAGCTAGGGCTGGAACGTAGAGAAATGACGTCCCTGTTACCTCTACCCACCATGTAAAATCTGCATGCACAATACTTTAGCACTGGACTTAGACAAGAAGGGTGGAAAGCTGAGCCCAAGATGCTGAGCAAATGGCTGGTGTTAGAAACCTAGGGAGAGATCCCATTTGCACCTTCCCCCAGCTACCACTTGGCTCTGGAGGATCCAGGGAGAGGGGCTAAGGCTGATCTTAGGAGGGGAATGGGATTTGGCTGGTTGGAGATAGGGTGACCAGACAGCAAGTATGAAAAATCAGGACAGAGTGTTGGGGGTAATAGGTACCCATATAAGAAAAAGGCCCGAAAATCGGGACTGTCCCTATAAAATCAGGACATCTGGTCACCCTAGTTAGAGAGCTCTTTGGATTGGGTGCTGGGGCAGCACAGAGGTCTTCTCCTGCAAGGCACTGATCCTGGCCAAGGCCTGGCTGCACCAGGCCAGTTTGCCTGTTTTCCGGCAACGACTGACTCACAAAAGCAGTTAGAGGTCCGTGGCAGGGGGTGCGCAAGTGTGTGGATTTGTTTGCAGCCCAAGTGCAGAAGTGGTGTAAGGCACACGGAGGCGCCTTGCCCCTGGACACACAGCTAAAAGTGCTTGATGTTGTAGGACCAACCTACGCCGAGACACAGGGCCCGCTGCTCAGACCACAAAGTGCAGTCTGTAGGTCACCTGGTGGCCGTTGTCCCAGGCATAGAGGACCTTCTCCTTGGGGTTGTAGTCAATCTGCGTGGTGAAGGAGTACTTGTTGAGGAAGGGCAGCTTGAGGTTGGCCTCAGTGCCCGTGTGGGTGTCGTAGGCATAGGAGATCTGCCCATCCTTCTGGCTGTACACATCCACGGCATACAGGATGCCACAGACGATGAAGCAGTTCCCATAGGAGTTGCGCTTGAGGCCTGTCTTCCAGGTGGTCTCCCTCTTCACGGAGAGGTCACTGGGGTCCAGCTTGCTCAGGACGATCACCTCCAGCTGGGAGTAGTCATAGTCCACTGCAGGGTAAATGACCCACAGCCCGCTCTCGTCGACTGCAAAGTCGATGTCTGAGTGGCCCCTCCACTTCCAGGGCGTGGTGTCCTCGTACATCACGTTGGGCAGCAGGGCCCAGGCAGCCACGAAGCGCTGCTTCAGGTCGTACTTGATGATGTTCTTGGTGAAGGCGCGGTTGTAGTAAAACGCTCCCTGGTAGACCACATGGCCGGTCCCGATCCAGTTGTAAGGGAGCTTGTACAGGTTGCTCCAACGACCTGTGGTGAAAGTGAAAGTTCTTTAAGGAACAAAGACTAGGCACCTGAGCCAGGAATGGATCCTTACCTCCCACTGGCCATGTTTCCTCCCCCACATCCCCCTTCTGCACACTCATCTTCTGCACTGCCAGCTGACTGCTCCTACCAGAGGGGCCTGAGGTGCCAAGCTGCACTCACGTGTCTACATGCTTCTGTGAGCACCAGTCCTGCCTGGGTAGAGCCGGGAGGCAGAAATGGAAGCTGGGGCTGAGGACATGACTAGCTACTGTTGCTGAGCAGAAGGTGACTAGAAGAGGATTCTAGGAAGAGCAAACTACTCTCACCGAGGCAGTTCCCGACCCAGAGTATTCTATAAACCAAAGCCCATAAACCCGCCGGCCAAGTTCCAGCATGCCTATGTGACGAAGTGGGACTGTTCTTAATGTTTCCTCTGAATAGTGGGGGGGTGCCTCAGTTTCCCCATGGCAGTTCTTAAGTCTCTAGGGGGTGGAGTAAGGGTGTATGATCATTGCAGAGCCCTAGAGGGCAGGTGTGTGCAGGAGTCTGGACACAGAGAATGGCCGACACCCTGTTTCCTGGCAACTGATGGCCTGGGCCCTTCCCCCCTGCAAGGTGAGAGCTGAAGGGTTGGAGAACAAAGGAATAAGGTGACCACCTGGCCCGGGAAAGGAACAAAGCCCAGAGGAGGAGGGGCTGGAGGGGGTTTTCAGTTTGGGGCTGGCTGGGACATGGAGTGAAGGGCAGACGTGGTTGTCTGGCTCACTGCCCCCAGAATGGACCCAGCTGAGGGGTCCCGTTCTCTGCACCTGCAAGCTCTGTTTTAGACCATGTTCCTGTCGTCTAATAAACCTTCTGTTTTACTGGCTGGCTGAGAGTCACGTCTGACTGCGAAGTTGGGGGGCAGGACCCTCTGGCTTCCCCAGGAGCCCCACCTGTGCGGACTCGCTGGGGGAAAGCGCACGGAGGGGCAGAGGATGCTGAATGCTCCGAGGTCAGACCCAGGAAGGTGGAAGCTGTGTGAGCTGTGTGTCCTGAAGACAGGCTGCTCACAGAAAGGCGACTGCCCCAGAGTCCTGACTGACTTCATGGGGAGCAGTTCCAGAGCATCGCCCAGGGACTCCGTGACAGCCTAATAGGCACTAACCTTGGGAAGGGAATAAACCAGCTTCTGTTCAAGCCGGAAGAACCTCATGTTCAGGGTTGTGAGCCGTGCAGCATTGATACGGGCGGTAAGTCCTGCTACAGGCAGACTCATCACTCGCTGCCTGGCGCGAAGGAGATACCTCCTGGGCAGATGGCCCAGGTGGCCCCTGCTCTGACCCAGGATGGCGATTCCCATGGTCCTAATGGGAGAGATTCCCTCTGGCTACTGACTCCGGCCCTGGGCAGGGTCGGAAAAGAGTCTGGGTCTGTTGGTGTTTCTCATCCTGGGCCACATCTGTGCTGGATGAACATGGACAGGTCTGGAGGCTGGGCTCAGAGAAGCCCCAGGATAGGTGGGGGATGGATAACAGGGACGGAAGGTGGGGTTTCCTTAGGGGTCACAAGGTGAGCTAAAGAGCCACAACCGTGAGTCTCTCCCTGAGTTGACCTGGGCTGATGAAAGCTCCAGGTTCAGTTTGGGGCAGATGTGGGGCTCAGACTGAGTCCCATTTGTACGGCTCCTACTGCAGCCCTGCAATGGGATGGGAGCTGCTTCTCACTTTCCAGCCCTGGGAAATCAGCCCCATTTCTCTGCATGCCTGCAGCATCCAGGCCTCATTCCTGGGACGTTCTCCCCAGCCAAGTGAACTTGTGTAACCCAACGTGCAGGTGCCAGGGCCTGCCTGATCACCCAGGCGCTGCTCCAGTCTCACAGGCGCTGTCCAAGCCCCGAACTTTTGAAAGCACCAGTCTCTCTTTTATCTTGTTTCAACATGTAGACCGTGTGTACGGCTCCCGGCCGCTCTGACCTTCCTATGCCGCTAACAGCGCGGTTGTGCTGAACAGTCACCCTGCTCAGCTTCTCTAAGCTGGTTTCATCTGCTGTATGGGAAAAACATTTCGGTGTCTGCCTTGACATGCAAATGCAGCTCTGGGGACGCGGGGTCTGTCGAGTGGCAGCAATCCAGACGCCATCAGTGGGAAGAGGAATCCGATACGCTGGGCACAATTAATGTTTCCAGATGCGCTCTCTGCTGCGTGAGTCTTATTGCTGAGCCCGACCACAGACCATTTGCAGTTTGGGAACAGCCAGGGTAAGTGAGGATAGCTCCCCTCTGCCCAGCAATGCCTGGCTCCCAGCTCACCCCCGACTTTCCCAGCCAACTCCTGCCCCTCCCGAGCAGGGGGTGAGGGAAGAGTGTCAGCCATTCTCCGATGGTCATTAGAGGTGCTCCATGAATTCACTGCAACCCAGCCTTGCCCCATTGTGTGTGCTCCCTGCAGCTGCCCTCACATGGGAGCTTTCAGGGGACTCCACATGCAAAGTCACCAGCCACCAGTCTCATGCCATTAGTAGTTATACTCATCCAGTCAGGAGACAGAAACAGCACCATGTGACCTGTTGAGCAGCTGTGTCGAGTGGCTGGGGCATGGGTCTGGGAGCCAGGAGCTCTAGCCCCAGCCCTGTCCCTGGCTTGCTGGATGACCTCGTGCAAGTCCTTTCTCCTCTCTGTAGCTCTGCCCACCCTCACTCCCTTGTCTGTGAGGCTGTGAGCTCTTTGGGGCGGGGTCAGCCTCTCACTCTGGTTTGTGCAGCACCTAACGCAGCGGGGCCCTGAACTCAGCTGGGGCCTCTGGGCGCTACCAGAATAAAACTGGAGTGACCGCCGGGCTCTAAGAACCAAGTGGGAATCCCGTAATCACAGCCTACCTCCAGAGGATATCCCCCACCCCCACAAAACAAACCCATCCCCAACTTGCTGAATAACTGGGGCAGCCAGGCTACCTGGGCACGTCATTCCCTGTGACTCTGGGGCGGAGTGTGGGGGAGCCCACGGCCGGCGCCCCCCAGAGCATCTCACCTTGCTTAAAGTTGTCGAGGCTCCTGAACTCCACCAGGTTGTTGCCATAGTAATAATTGGTGACGTAGATCCTGTCGTCTCTGGCCGCGGGGTCCTTCATCCACGCCCCCTCGTTACGCCCGTAGCTGTGGTGTTCCACGGGGGGCTCCACAGACTTGATGGTGCCCTCACACTGCACCTCTTTCACTGCTGAGCCAACAAGAGGCGCTAACTGCCAGTCTCCGCGGGAGCAGGTCGTGCCCTGCTCCCCCAGCCCGCGCCCAGAGCAGCCAATCAGGCCCACCCCGCAAAAAGGCCTTTCCCTACCCTGGGAGAGGCTCCCCCACTTTTATCCTGCCTGCCGCCTTGTTTCAAAGGCCCAAACAGAGTTTCAAAACATCTGCTTCTAGGAGCGCCCCCGCCCCCGCAAGTCCAGAGATGCTGCCTTCTCCTCACCTTGTGCCTGGATTTCGTGCCGTCCGGCTGCCCCAGGGACCGAGCCCCTCTAGCCACAGGGCAGGTACAGCACGGGTGGCTTCCCTGCCCACCCCCTGCCTTCCCAGGGCCCCTCAGCCCCACCTCAGAGGGACCACAGCTCCAGCAGGCTCACCAGGGCCCACTCAGCTGCTCGCCAGTTGTGACATGTCCACAGAGCAAGTCCCCCAGCTGCAGTTTGGGCCTGGCCCTACGTACCCACCTGAGGGACTTGTGCGGTGCCCCCAACCCACCTTGGTTAGGCGCTTCCAGCCTCTCGGTGCCTTCAGCATTGTCCCCCATGGAGAGGACGGTGACTGGTGGGCTCTGGGTAGTGGTGCTGGGGGCCCGGGTGGTGCTGGGGGCCCGGGTGGAGTGGGCAGAGGTGGTCTCCACCTGCTCGCCGACTCTCCCCTGGGCCTCTGCAGCAGCGTAAGACTCGGGGTTTCTCTCCTCCGGCCGGTCCATCCAAGGGCTCCCCTTCCCGGGGCTTTCTGAGGAAAGAAGCAGAGCCCTTCCTGCCGTTCCTTTCCTGCCATTCCCTTCCCTTGGCTTGGCACTGTCTGGCAAGGAGTGCCAGGAGGGTGAGCCGGGAGCTGTGCTGAGGAACAGGCCAGGACTGCGGGGAGTCTGTCTCCCCCCTCCTCCACCCCACCCCCAGTCCCTACTCTTCTTCCTGTGCTGAGCATCTGACTCCCTCCCTTGCCCACCCCATCCCGCCCCCTCCGAGGGAGCCCATGTCCCACCCCGCTGGGGAGCTGAGCGGAGGGAGTCCTGCCTCTCCCCTACATCTGCAGGATGGCTGTTCCCGCCTGAGGCCCCCGCTGCCTTGCTTCCACAGCACACTGGGGAGTGGGGGTGCCGAGGCAAGGCAGGAGGGCAGGGGAACCCAGATGCAGGGCCTGGGCTCCCCAGGTTGGATTTCTGCAGCATTTAACCAAATGCTCCCTCTTTTCTACCTTCTTTGTGAAACTAAACCAACTGCCCCAGCTCCAGGAAAACACTGTGGGGCTCAGACAAGAGCTGGGCCCGCCCCGGGAGCTGTGTAAAAATGGGGGCAGCTGCCCTCTGAAATTCCTCACTCGCGCCACTGAGTGTGCAAACACGGTGTTTGAGAGAGGAGCAGGGAATGTAGCGCAGTCGGGGACAGGATCAGTGCCCAGGGAACAGATTTACCCAGAGGCTGGAGGCCAGGAAACTTCCCAGCAGCTGAATGTGGGATTCGCTTTTCAACCTTTTATGCCACTAAATGTAGGGTCGCTCCCCACAGCTTTTCAGATGCATTTTGGTCTTGTTCTGCTGCCCCTGTTATGCCAACCCTGGGCTCCTCACACACGCACACACTGAGCTCTGCTGTTGCCCCTCAGTACAGACCTGCAGCCCCTGTTATCCCATCCCTGGGCCCCCCTTGAGAAGACCCTGTGCCAGTCTCGGTCACTGAGGTGGTTTTGTGATGTGCCCAAATGCTGCAGCTCACGTTCTCCTGTGCCCTAAGACCAGGCCTTTAAGCCAAGTCCCAAGAGATAAACGCTGAGCGCCTGGCCCCCTGCACTTCCCTGCCCCACAGGAGAGAGCTGGGAGCAGTATGCAGCCCAGGCCCAGCAGGGATGTGCGGGTGGGGGGCAGACGGGGCCGGGTGCTCACGGGAGTGGGGGACCATGCAGGTGGCTCTGAAGGGGGGGTAACCTGGCGGAATGTTGGGGAAGGGTCTGAGGCTCCTCAAGGATGGGCTGCCAGGGTGTCCCAGGAACACCCTCTGGCTTCCCCGGCCAGCGGACAGTCCTGTCCTCTCAACCACATGCCATGCTGGGCCTGTCGTGGTGCTTGTGCCCACTCCAAGGGGCCTGGGCACTTACCTCGGTTGCTGACCAGGCCCTCGGCCTCCTCCTGCTTGGCAGCCTTGTAGTAGGTGATGCCCCGGATCACCGTTTGCTGGTGACCGGAGGGCCTGGGCTTGGGGGTGGGCTGCGATGCGCCCGGTCTGACCCTCAGGCTCTCCTTCTTGGGCTTCTCCGTTTTTGGCAGCTTTGCCTTGGGGACTCTCACAGCTGCCTTGTCCCCCAGGCTCTTGCGGGCGCTGGGGTACTTGCTCGCCTCCTTGCCTTTGCCCCCGGCCGTGTCCTAGGAGACAGAGCCAGGTTCAGAGGCACCTCTGTGGGCAGCAGTGATGCTGTGTCTGGCCAGCTCTTGCACCGAGTGGAGAGTGGAGGATCCCGATGGCTTGGGATCACAAAGCTCCTGCTGCAGAGAGAGGGGCTCCAGGCAGCGCAGCCAGCAGGAGCCCCGCTCTGGACACTCTGTGCACCATGCTCAGAAACCATGGTGATGGGCACGGAATGAACTCTGAACAGAACAGAGGACACCTGCAAGATGGCAGCGCCAGGGCAGCTAAGACCGGATGGAAAGGAGACCAGAGTATGTAACAGGCCTACTGCACGCTGGGCTTGGCCCATATCCAGGCTTGGCGGGCCCTGACTGACTCTATCAATGGGCCAAAGGGAGTTAATCATTTAGCACAGGTTCCCGCTGTGGGCAGCCAGGCTGTCACTGCACGGCAACGCAGCACCTCCTCCCGGCCTGCACTCCGCCCAGCCTGCAGCCCCCTCAGCGCCGAGGGGACCAGGCTGGTGCCTGAGAGTGTGTGTGTGGTGAGGGGGGCAGGAAGGTACCTGGGCCTTGCTCTCAGGGACAGCGGCAGCGTCCTTCTGCAGCAGCTGGTAGCCCAGGTTGGAGATCTCTTTCTTGATGCTGATCATGATGTCAGAATAGTTCTCATAGCGCTTCATCTGGTTGGTCAGGTGAACGACGCTCTCCTTCATGAAGTCATTCTCCCTGCTCAGGTTGGTCTTGATGGTCTGAGCAAGAGGCGGGAAGGAAACAGGGCATGAGTAGCTGAGACCTGATAGGGCCTCCATCGTCCTTCGGTTCAGGCAAAAGGCTTCATGTTTCTCTACAAAGCAAGGGCATGAAGGAAGGAGGAAACCTATCCCGCTTCCAGGGGATGACAACATTGTCTACTGGCTGGGGCAGGTGGGGCTGGGAGCTACGACTCCTGGGTTGTATTCCCAGCTCTGGAAGGGGGCTGGGAACGGGCTGGACAGGGAAGTACTGTCCTGCTCAAGTCCCAGCGCCCAGAGCCCAACGCAAACAGCCTCTCAGCTGGGAGAGGGATCCAGCGCAGCTAACTCTCTCAGCGATGCGTGGCAGTGACTTGGGAAGCATCACTTCTGCAGGCAGCTGAAGGATCTCTACCTAGGAGATTCCTTTCTCCTACTCCCTGCTCATAGTCACTCCTGCCCGACACCCATAATAGCCCCCAGCCTGTGCAATTGACCAGGCAGAGCACAACCTCCACCTGGATCCTTACCCTAGTGCCTATCCCTTCCCCCGCCCTTGGTTATGTTTGTGTCAGTTTCACTGTGAGCTCTGGGGCAGGACCCACATTTCCCCCTCTGTTTGTGCAGTGCCCCCCCATGGGCCATGGTAGTGGGGGGGAGGTAAGGAACTGGCCCGAGGAGTAGTTCTCATGGCCTCAGTGAATGTTTCCATCCCCAGCCAGAAGACAGGAGGAAGGCAGTTATCAGAGCTCATTTCCTGCTAGCTTGCAGTCTCTGTATTCCATGGTAGAGTGGCGGCTGGGCAGCAGAAGCAGGTGCTGGCTTTTGTGTTTGCTCATCTGGCTGCTTTGCTCTGGGATGGCTCAGAAACTGCAGTGCAAGGGGGCCACTCTTACCTCCTCCAGAGTATTCATTTGGGAGACCACCTTGTTGATGTATGAATGGACCTTCATCAAATCCATGCTGTACAGTGTTCCCTCCAGCAGGTCAACCATGGACTGGAGCTGTGAAGGAAAAACCTTGAAGCTGAATTCCGAGAGCAGCAGGGGACAATGGGGGCTGCAGTAAACAGGGACCCCAGAATGAAGGAAAATTCAGTGTGGCTTCCTGCAGACCAAAATCACACGAGTGGGCAGAGCAACCCGAACGACATAATGCAACAGGACTCAGTGTTGGGAGCACCATGGGACTGCTACGGTCTCAGCACACAATGCCACAGATGCAAAATAGATAGGCAGCAGCTTTGTGGGGCTGAGATGCAGTGTAGAATGTGAACCTGGTGCAGGAACCCATGCAGAGAGAATGATGCCCAGCTACAATATCCTCTGGGATTTCTCACTACCAATAATCCCAACCTGATTTTAATTTCATGCCACTTTTCTGTCTCTCCCTGTGCCCCCACCCTGCCCACATACACACACTTCCAGGGAAAGGGCCCCAGATTGTTACAGAACCGAGGCTTAAGGACTTAAGGGGAAACGTGGGCTGAGGAATGATAGAGGGAGGGGACACCACGGGCACTGCTCCTAAGAGGTCTTTGCTGTCTCTAACTCCGATGAGTCTATAGTACCTCGGCCTGCTGGGAGCTGAGATCAGTCGTGTGCCCTGCAGTGCAGTTGAATAGGAGCTGGAAGTGTTAAAGGTGAAATGTATCCTTGGGTGGCGGTGAGCCCAGGCCTGGAAACTGCCCAGGGTGACTCATACCCTCATTGAGTGATCCTCTTGTCACTGCTGGCAACAGATGCCTATGGCCTGGACCCACTTTGGCCTTGGTCTGTCAGACCTTGCCCATGGGGTGCAGAGCAGCCCATGCTCCTCCCCGGCCGCCCCTTCCCCAGCTCTGAGGGCCGACCCCTTCGACGTGGAGCCCGGCGCGCCGAGCCGGCAGCCTGCACAGCTGCGTGGAGGGAGTGAGCAGGGCACACACTGCCTATTGTTAGCTGGTGACATTTAGCCACCAGAAGCTCTCGACCCTGCTCCGTCTCTCACGCACAAGGGTCACTAGAGCAGCGGCCTCCCGGGGAAGCCTGCAGGCCCCAGCACAGATCTGCTCTTGTCAGGGAGTCAGCGCTGCTGGGAGAACCTGCTGTCTCATCTCTGGGGAGCAGAGATTCCTGTGCTGTGGAGTCACTGCCAGCTGCCGGCGCTCCCTCCCTCACCCCAGACCTCACGGATGCCACAATGCCCAGCCCTTCCTGTCTGACATTTGCCCCAGTGGGGCTGGGCTGTGAAGGGCCCTTTGTGCCGTGCTGCGGATGCGATCAGCCCATGATGGGTCTGTCTGGGATCGGGAGTCGGTCTCTTTTCTTTCCAGCCCCCAGGATTTGGCCCTCTTAAGAAATGTCCGTTTCCCACCAGGGCACTGCATGAGCCTCAAGAGCAGGAGCCCTGGAACCAGACTCTGGTGCTGGGGTCCCGAGGGTGAAACGCCTGGTGCAAGGGAGGGGGTGCAGCTCATGTGTCGCTGGGGGTTCCATGCACCCAGGGCCGACCATAGCGTTCAGGGACCCAGGCCAGCGCGTGGGAGCGACCCGTGCTCCTCCTGCTGCCAGGGAGGTGGCAGGGGCGGAGGCCAGCCTGGCCGCTGGCAGCGGCTCCAGGCAGAGGCTGATGTGCAAGACCTGCCTACGCCCACGTACCTTGAAGAGATCTGGAGCCTGCTTCTTCAGCTTCTCCATCCTCCACTCGTTCTCGCAGGGGCTGAGCGAGGAGGGTGGGGCCGTGCAGGAGCACTTGCAGTCTGTCCCCGAGCTCACCGTCTCCACCGTGTAGAAATCCTCCGCCCGCAGGCTGCCATCCTTGATGCGGCTGCAGGCATCCTTGCTGAGAGGCCGCAGGATGCACTTGCAGCGGCAGTCAGAGCCCTCGGACGTCATCCGCACTTGGTCCATGTCACCAAACACCTGGGGAAGGGCAAGAAGCAGGCGCGTAAGGACAGGTGGGACTTGGCCTGTCCTGAGTCACATCTTAGGCTCTGGGGTGCATGTGGGACACTGGGGGAGGGGTCAGGAAGGAATTCCTGCCGGCATCCCAAGCTCTTTGGGGTTCACCTTCCACCAAAGAGCCACTTGCCAGCCAGGTGCCCTGCACATCCCTTGTGACCCCTGCTGGGACTCCCCCAGGAAAGTCTCTGCTCACTGGTGCACCAACGTGGAGTCCTAAAGACCCCAACCACAAGCACAAACAAAGGGCCAAAGCCCCTGCTGGAATAGTTGCCATAACCACCCTCTCGGCCACCGCCGGGGATGGACCCTGGCTCATCTAGAGCTCAGGTATGATCTCTACAGCCTGAGCTAACGGACTGGCCACCCCATGGGTCCATTCCAGGGCCCAGGTTAGCCCTGGGGTAGCCAGCCTCCTTTCCCAGGTGGCTTCTCTGGGAGGCGGGTTTCATGGGAATGCTTACTCTGTTGCAGCATGTTCCCGGGGGTCAGGGAGCCTGTTCATTACTCTCGCCGGCTCAGCTCAACCCCTTTCCTTGTATTTGTTAAACGCCGATAGGTTGGGGGGCAGGGGAGCACAAAGGAGCTTGCACCTCTCCTTCCCCTGCTGACACCGTCCTGGGCCTTCCTCCTCTGACTGATACCAGGGCACCTGGCTGGGCATGAGGAACAGGGATTTTCAAAGTGGCCTAACTCCCAGTCTGGGCACAGCAGTCCCTTAGGCTCCAACAGAACCCCAGCCTTAGCCCTGAATGTTCCCTAGCCCTGGGCCTAGGGAGGTGGCCGATGCCCGGTCAGTCAGCAACAGCCGCCTTGGGCAGGGCGGAGAGGACTCGTTCCTAGGCAGCTGCTCAGAGCTAAGGAGCGAGCTGGCATTATTCACTATTGCTGCTGAGCTCTGTGCAAGACACAAAGACCGAGTCCCTGCCTGGAGGCTCCAGCCTAGGAGACTGGCAAATAAGCCGCTGAGAGGCTCTGAGCAAGGAGTCAATGGTTACTTCCCCTCCCCCATCTCCTCTGCTGGGGGTGTTTCGAATGCCCCAAGCAGTGCCCGGACAACTGCTGGGCGAGCTCAGAAAGCTGGAAGAGGAGAGGAAGGCGCGTAAGGACAGAAGGGTCCCCAGCGGATCGTCTCATCTGCCCTCCTGCCCAGCACAGGTCACCCTCCGCTCACGGCCGCCATTGGCAGCTGCTTGGTTTAATTTACGAGGGACTAATAGCAGCAGCAATTAATGTGTTTACAAAGCATCCCCTGCAAAAGCACGTGGGCTGCTGCCCAGCACCCCTAACCCAACCCCCAGGGAGGAACCCACACGCAGCGGAAGCAGCTCATTTATACTGCTCAGAAAAGCCACCGAGAGGGTCACCGGGCCAGGACACTTGAGAAGCACTGCTCTAGGGCACGAAGGTCTTGTCATCTCCCAGGAAGGAGCCCCTTGTGCACCAGGCCAGCAGGAATGGGGGGCTCAGACTGGCACCCCGAGGGCTTCCCAGCAGTTCAAGTGCTGTACCTATTGGCATATAAATGTACGTCTCCTTCTGAATCAGAGGCCAACGCCCTCTCCCCAGAGCCTGCCTGTGTCTCTCAGCCATGGCTGAGCTGCGCTGCACAGCGGTGAACTCCTGCCTTTGGCAGCTTGTCCTTACCCTACAACCACAGCCGGTGGGTGGCCCTTGGCTGCACGTAGGGCTCTGAAGGCCTTGCTTTGGCCAACTCTGCTTCGCTAGCTGGGGGATGGGGCAAGGCTGCGGCCATGTTCCCCTCTCGTTTGTACGCCAGTGGACGTCATGTCTCACAGCGTAATCCCGGGCACGTGTGCAGCTGTGGTAGAGACGATTCCCACACACCGTGATCTAAAGCAAGGACCTTTAATCTCCTTTGATGCCCTGGATCTCACAAGATGTGGCCCTCTGTCTGCCTAGCCTGGCTGACAACATGGCACATCATCTCTGACCCGGAGAGGGAAATCCACCTGCCCCCGTGTCCCAGTTCCATGGGTCACAGGCGTTAAAACCACACAGCACCACCCCTTGTGGCTATGTGTGCGGTTTATGGTTAGCGTTTATTTGACCTACTTCTGTGAAGCTTTTGCTAGCCTACTCTAGGATTTAGCTAACTGGGCAGCATGTGCAGAAAGAGTCTGAATTCCCATACATAAGGATACTGATTTTCCGCTTCTATCGCACCTTTCATATCGAATGATTCCAAAGCCCTTGACAAACTTAAACCAATATAAACTATACACAGGAAACGGTTTATTTGCCACTAAAATGCAACCACCACTGGGATGGAAATCAGCTCCTGTTTGAGAGCAAACAGCTTCATGCTACCGTTTAAGGCAGGAAGTCAAAGATCATACTGCTTCCAGCCAAGGTCCTGACTGATTCTGTTCAGTGAAGATCTCAGAGTACTTTTTGGCCAGATTTCCAATTTGAGTAACACACTGTCTCTCTGATTTCCCCCTGCTATTTCAATTGGAAACAATATTCCTCATCACTTCCTCTCCTAAACTATAGTGTCGTACTGTGCGCTGCTGAACAGCTGCTATGCTTCACCCCAGAAGTGGCTGCATTTCAGTGGTGGGTGAAGTGATTCCAGTTTGCAGTCTGCCATTCTATATGATTTGTAAAGCACTCGGGAGGTTTGGGAGTTAGCAGGTGCTTTAGAGACATTAGGGGATATTACTGCCCTTGGAGAGATCCGGTCAGACTCTCATTACTCCCAGGTTTCAGAGGAACAGCCGTGTTAGTCTGTATTCGCAAAAAGAAAAGGAGTACTTGTGGCACCTTAGAGACTAACCAATTTATTTGAGCATGAGCTTTCGTGAGCTACAGCTCACTTCATCAGATGTATACCCAGGGTAATACATCTGATGAAGTGAGCTGTAGCTCACGAAAGCTCATGCTCAAATAAATTGGTTAGTCTCTAAGGTGCCACAAGTACTCCTTTTCTCATTACTCCCAGTTCCCTGTCTGTAATTTGCTTTAGGAAATGGACGTTCAGTATTTGTCACCTGTTAATTATTAGCACTAAGCTGTGTGTCCTCCACATTCCTCACCCCCTTGCCACTTACATGGGAATGCAGACTCCAAAGGTTTCCAATGTGGCACCTCTCTGAGGAGCATGCGGGGCCAACAGACCCTGTCAGATCCCTCTGCCCTTCCTCGGTCCCAGCCTTGCCTCCCTGGCTGAAAACCTGAGCTGGCTGCCAGTAATTGAGAGCAATGTGGGAAGAAGGAGGATCCTGGGAACTACAGGCCAGTAAGCCTCACCTCAGTCCCTGGAAAAATCATGGAGCAGGTCCTCAAAGAATCAATCCTGAAGCACTTGCATGAGAGGAAAGTGATCAGGAACAGCCAGCATGGATTCACCAAGGGAAGGTCATGCCTGACTAATCTAATCGCCTTTTATGATGAGATTACTGGTTCTGTGGATGAAGGGAAAGCAGTGGATGTATTGTATCTTGACTTTAGCAAAGCTTTTGACACAGTCTCCCACAGTATTCTTGTCAGCAAGTTAAGGAACTATGGGCTGGATGAATGCACTATAAGGTGGGTAGAAAGCTGGCTAGATTGTCGGGCTCAACGGGTAGTGATCAATGGCTCCATGTCTAGTTGGCAGCCGGTGTCAAGTGGAGTGCCCCAGGGGTCGGTCCTGGGGCCGGTTTTGTTCAATATCTTCATAAATGATCTGGAGGATGGTGTGGATTGCACTCTCAGCAAATTTGCGGATGATACTAAACTGGGAGGAGTGGTAGATATGCTGGAGGGGAGGGATAGGATACAGAAGGACCTAGACAAATTGGAGGATTGGGCCAAAAGAAATCTGATGAGGTTCAATAAGGATAAGTGCAGGGTCCTGCACTTAGGACGGAAGAATCCAATGCACCGCTACAGACTAGGGGCCGAATGGCTAGGCAGCAGTTCTGCGGAAAAGGACCTAGGGGTGACAGTGGATGAGAAGCTGGATATGAGTCAGCAGTGTGCCCTTGTTGCCAAGAAGGCCAATGGCATTTTGGGATGTATAAGTAGGGGCATAGCGAGCAGATCGAGGGACGTGATCGTCCCCCTCTATTCGACATTGGTGAAGCCTCATCTGGAGTACTGTGTCCAGTTTTGGGCCCCACACTACAAGAAGGATGTGGAGAAATTGGAGAGAGTCCAGCGAAGGGCAACAAAAATGATTAGGGGTCTAGAACACATGAGTTATGAGGAGAGGCTGAGGGAGCTGGGATTGTTTAGCCTGCAGAAGAGAAGAATGAGGGGGGATTTGATAGCTGCTTTCAACTACCTGAAAGGGGGTTCCAAAGAGGATGGCTCTAGACTGTTCTCAATGGTAGCAGATGACAGAACGAGGAGTAATGGTCTCAAGTTGCAGTGGGGGAGGTTTAGATTGGATATTAGGAAAAACTTTTTCACTAAGAGGGTGGTGAAACACTGGAATGCGTTACCTAGGGAGGTGGTAGAATCTCCTTCCTTAGAGGTTTTTAAGGTCAGGCTTGACAAAGCCCTGGCTGGGATGATTTAACTGGGAATTGGTTCTGCTTCGAGCAGGGGGTTGGACTAGATGACCTTCTGGGGTCCCTTCCAACCCTGATATTCTATGATTCTATGTGTGCGCACACACGAAGCACACAGGGCTTGGGGTTTGCGACCTAATCAGCCACATTCAAGCTTCTTCCAATTACTGGCCTGGAAAAGCTCCTCACATGATCTGTAGGAGGCGGAACAAACTGCTGCCCTCGCTGGCTAGCTGTGACACTGGAAGAGGATGTAGAGCGGGCGGTTTAGCTTGAAAGCATTCAGTGCAACAGGACCATGTTTAAAGTCTGGTTCTGCTCAAGCCAGTGATCCAGAAAACATGGCATGTCAGTGCCCCAGGTTTATCCCCCATCAGCGGCCCCTCAGCTTCTGACAGGTATTCCCAGCTGCTGGCTCAGCCCAAGTGGTGGAGCCTCGAC